ACTTCCTCCTGTGCCACTATCCCCTCCCTCCTAGATTGTAAGCTCGAAAGAGCAAGGCCCTCGAACCCCTCGTATACTGTTTTGTTACTGTATTGTCTCATGTACTGTCCCCCACTACTCTGTACAGCGCTGAGCAAACTTTCTGGCGCTATATAAATACTGTATAATAATAGTTCTGGTGGTAATCCCAGATTAGTCGAAGGTTCCTTGGTATCTTCTACCCCTCCAAATGAGTGTCAAGGATCCACTCCCTCTGCTGGTAAGATCAGATCTTCTCCCATTAGTCCAGCACCTGACAGGCTCAATCTCATGGCTTCGGTCTTGAGAGGCAGGGGCTAATAGATCTCGGATGTTCTGCAAAGGTTGTGAATACTCTTATGCAAGCAAAGAACAGCACTAACAGTGCCTATATTAGAATATGACATAAATTCACAGGATTGCTGCTGATCAAGGTTTTACACTGGGCTCTTCACAAGTCTGTCACATTCTGAAGTTTCAGCAGGCGGGGCTTGATTTAGGTTTATGCTTAAGTATGCTATGGACCCACATTTCAGCTGTCTCTGCCTTCACCGGCGTACAGTGGGTATCCAACATTCAATTATACTGTTCTTGAAGCTGCAAATTGGTTGAAACCTCCCTAAGGGATTGTTGTTTGTGAAGTGCGATCTCCCATTGGTGTTGGACTTGTTTGCATCAGATGCCTTCAATCAAACTGGCCCCCTATGGTATCTTTTGCTGAAAACTGTTTTCCTGCTAGCAATTACAGGAAGCAGAAGAGTGTCCATATTAGCGGCCCTGAGGTTTAAAGAACCCTATCTTACGTTCATCCCGGATAGGGTGATACTTATGCTGATGCTCAAGATTGTGCCTAAGGGCTCATTTACACTGCAGCTCCTAAACTGATGTTCAGAAGCTGTTCAGCATTTTTTTCAGCAGCCCCTGAACTCTCCCTAATGTTTTCCTATGTGTCCATGTACACATAGTCGTTTACAGGCAGTTGAGTGTACAGGTGTGTTTTTGAACGCACCAAACTTGCGTTCAGGAGTAGATTTTATCGACGTTCTAAACGCCAGACGCTTGTATACGCAGTTAACCGTGTCTATAAGCGTTTGCGTTTAGAAGTGTTTTTTAACTGTTCCATGTCCAGATGCTCTCCACAGCCTCTTTTCATCATCAGAAATGCATGCAAAGTGTTTTCCATTTATTCAAATGGACCTAGCACACCAGCACAGTCAGTTCCAGGTTTCGCATGAAGGAAAAAAAAAAATGGAAGAACATGCTGCATTATGCTCATAATGGGATCCATAGTGAATACAACCAGAAAACAGGTCATCTCATACTGCTCTCTCTGCTTCTGCTCTCTCTATTCCTCTCAAAATGTCTGAAATAGTTAATTTTTTACTATTTTTCAGTGCATTCTGGGCATTTGGGTAGGTCTACTGAGGTTATCTTTTAAAAACCCTTCTAAACGCAAACTCACATAAACGCGGTATGCAAACGTGGCTAAACTGACGTTTGTTAACCAACGTTTTCCAGCAGTCAGTTTCCATCTTTCAGAAGAGTTTTCCAAATGCCCAGTGTACATGAGCCCTAAGTGGCCTTTAGAGTCCATATCACACAAAAAGTTGTCCTTTCTATGTCCCTCTTGGGGAGTACACAAGAAGTTAGCCCATCACATGTTGGCCAAGCTTTAAAATGTTACATCAAGGCGACATCTGACATCAGGAAGTCAGAGCACTTGTTTGTCGTTCCAGGTGGAGCATGTAATGATTTCACGGCTTCCAACAAGATTATTGCCTCTTAGTTGGTGATGCTCATTTACTTGGCCTACAAGTTGAATGGGTTGGCTGTGCAAGGGGGATCACATCACTGTCCACCTGAAGGGTCTCAACCTTGTGAGTGGCAGAAGGCTGAGTGTTCCCAGACACTATTTTCAAGGCAGCTACGTGGGGGTCAATCGATACGTTGATGGCTCTTTACTGTATAGAAGCAGTCTTAATGACAGTTGAGTTTGGCAGAGGCATCCTGGCTTCTGCTTTTAGCCAGAATTGAGGAGTGTGTAGCATTATCCCTCCCCTGTGTGGCTAGTTAGTTCCCAGCTGTGCTGACATGGAGCTTTCAGGAAAACATTAATTTCTATGATGAGCTCCATGTCGGCACAATTCCCACCCAGCTTGGTAGGACTAGTTACAGAACACCGAGGCTGCAGGTGGGCTCAAATTTATGAGTTAGGTCCTGGAAGTATGGGGGGGGGGGGGGTGGAGCCCTTACCCAGCAGTGCGGACAAGGAGTTCATCAGGAATGGAAAATTACGGTAAGTATCTGTCATTCAGAGGGTTAGGGACTGATGTGAATGTACAATATATGTATGTAAAGGGATGCGTAAATTGACGGTGCTATATACAGTTGTGTTCAAAATAATAGCAGTCAGACATCACTAACCTGATCAATCACTGTTTTTGGTAGAAATTATATTTCTACATGGCAAATAATTTACTAGCAGGTGTAGTAGAGTAATAGAAATCCAACAGACCCAACAGTCATGACATGCATGCTGCTGATTCTGTGTAATTTAATCACTAATTGAAAGGGGCATGTTCAAAATAATAGCAGTGTGGAGTTCTATTAGTGAGGTAATTCATTCTTTGAAAAACAGGTGGCAATTATAGCCCTTATTTAAGGAAGGAAGGCAGCAAATGTTGTACATGCTGGTTACAGTGCATTTCTCTCTGAAATTCTGAGGAAAATGGGTCGTTCCAGACATTGTTCAGAAGAACAGCGTACCTTGATTAAAAAGATGATTGGAGAGGGGAAAAACATATAAAGAAGTGCAGAAAATGATAGGCTGCTTAGCTAAAATGATCGCAAATGCTTTAAAATGGCAACCAAAACCTGAAAGACGTGGAAGAAAGCAAAAAACTACCATTCGAATGGATAGAAGAATAGCCAAAATGGCAAGGACTCAGCCAACAATCAGCTCCAGGAAGATCAAAGAAGGTCTAAAGTTACCTGTGAGTACTGTTACAATTAGAAGACACCTATGTGAAGCCAAGCTATCTGCAAGAAGCCCCCACAAAGTCCCACTAATGAAAAAAAGACGTGCTGAAGAGGTTACAATTTGTCAAAGAGCACATTGACTGGCCTAAAGAGAAATGGTGCAATATTTTGTGGACTGATGAAAGTAAGATTGTTCTTTTTGGGTCTAGTGGCCGGAGACAGTTTGTCAGACGACCCCCAAACACTGAATTCAAGCCACAGTACACTGTGAAGACAGTGAAGCATGGTTGCACAAGCATCATGATATGGGGATGTTCCTCATACTACGGTGTTGGGCCTATTTATCGCATACCAGGGATCATGGATCAGTTTGAATACATCAGAAAACTTGAAGAGGTCATGCTGCCTTATGCTGAGGAGGAAATGCCCTTGAAATGGGTGTTCCAACAAGACAACGACCCCAAACACATCAGTAAACGTGCAACATCTTGGTTCCAGACCAACAAGATTGACGTTATGGAGTGGCCAGCCCAATCACCGGATCTTAATCCAATAGAAAACTTGTGGGGTGACATCAAAAATGCAGTTCCTGAGGCAAAACCAAGAAATAAAGAAGAACTGTGGAATGTAGTCCAATCATCCTGGGCTGGAATACCTGATCACAGGTGCCAAAAGTTGGTTGACTCCATGCAACACAGATGTACAGCAGTTCTCAGAAGCAGTGCTTATACAACCAAATATTAATTAAGTGATTCAAAGGAAAGCAAAATCTTCAAACATTTTTTAATTTATATAGTGAATGTTTGAGTTTATAAAGAAGAATACAAACACTGCTATTTTTTTGAACCGTCTAATATTCACTTTTCTTACATTTTTTTAGAGGAACAACACAAATTTGATATTTTTCTTCATGTTTTGATTTGGAAAAGAATGTGTAGTGTTCCCAATGCATTTGTGTGTATGGAAATAAAAGCTATTAGAAGGATTTTGAGCTTTAGTCACTTTTTTCAACACACTGCTATTATTTTGAACACAAATGTAAGTACCTGAAATAAATAAATAAATAATTCAGTTTTCCGTTTATGTTCGCCAGTGATTCTCTTTGTAGTAAAAGTAATTTGAGCAGCTATACAGCCGCAGGATTACTTTTACAGGCAGCAGAATGAGGACCCACCCACCTGATGCTGGCTCCTGATCAGACGGACGAGCCTGGTAAGGATGCAACTGGAGACATTCGGTTCCCTGGACACAGTGAGAGGAACTGATGTTGTTCCTCCCAATGTGTGATATCATAAACTGGAAGTGACAAGGATTTTGTCACTTTTGGTTTTGGTCTTGTAAACAAGCCTGTGGAAATTGTAAGGTACCATAGTTTGGCACCGTTCTATGGGTGTATGCAATTTTAACCGCTTACCTACAGGGCACTTATACCCCCTTCCTGCCCAGGCCAATTTCCAGCTCTCAGCACTGTCACACTTTGAATGACAATTGCGCGGTGATGCAACACTGTACCCATATGAAATTTTTATCATTTTTTTTTTTGACAGATAGAGCTTTATTTTGGTGATATTTAATCACTTCTGGGTTTTTTATTTTTTCTTAAACAAACCGAAAACCACAGAAAATTTTGAAAAAAAAAATTTTTTTCTTAGTTTTTGTTATAAAATTTTGTACATAAGTGATTTTTATCCTTCACTGATCTGCGCTAATGAGGCTGTAGGGATGGGCACTGATAAGATGCACTGATGGACACTGATAGGTGGCACTGATGAGGAGGCACTGGTAGGTGGCACTGATGGGCATTGACAGGCATCACTGATGGGCACTGAAAGGCAGCACTGATAGGCGGCACTGATAGGCGGCACTGACTGGCACTGTTAGGTTGCACTGACTGGCACTGTTAGCTGGCACTGACTGGCACTGATAGGCGGCACTGATGCGCACTGATAGGCGGCACTGACTGGCACTAATAGGTGTCACTGATTGGCAGCACTGATAGGTGGCACTGATTGGTATTGAAAGGTGGCACTGACTGGCACTGATGGGTGACACTGAAGGGCAGCTCATATGGGCACTGATATGTGGCATTGATGTGCACTGGTAGGCACTAATATGTGGCATTGATGTGGCACTGATGGGCACTTGCACGTGGCACTGTTCAGCACTGACAGCTGGCACTGATGGACACTGACAGGTGGCACTTCCCGGGCCACACTGATCATCAGGGCACACTGATCACCAGTGCCCTGATGATCAGTGTACATGTCCCCTCAGCGGAATGCTGATTACCGGCTCTCCTCTCCTCTCGAGCTGTCAGCATGACAGCTCGAGAGGAGAGAAATGCCGATAACCGGCATTTCCCTGTCTACATGTGATCAGCTGTGATTGGACACAGCTGATCACATGACCGAGCCGACATCTTCGGCTCTTTCTGTGGATCGGTGATCCGTTGTGTCCGAGGGACACAGAGCACCGCCGATCGCCGCGCTGAGTCCCGCATGCGGCATGAGAATGGAAGGCCGTCAACAGACAGCCTATCAGAACGAGAGAACCACCTTGCGCCCGTCATTGGACTATATGGCGGGCGGGAGGTGGTTAAAGGTTTGGTATCTATGTACTCAGCGTAACATCATCTTTTATGTTTTACCAAACAAGTTTTGCCTTCCTCTGGATCAACTGTGGGTGTAGGATTATAACTTTTTTTTTTTTTTAATGGTTGAACTGGATGGTCATTTGTCTTTTTTTCAGCCAGATTTTGTCAACTATTTCAAGTATTATATTGTGTTTTTGCACATTAAAATTCATTTTGCGACATAAAAATATGCAACACCCACCATTTTATTCTCTAGGGCCTTTGCTTTAAAATGTATAATGTTGGGGGTTGTAAGTAGATTCCTAACAAAAAATATTCACATTTTTACATGTAGGAGCGGAATGCCAGACTTTGCTCAGACTGGAACTGGTAAAACCTCTTTAACCGCCTCTCGTCCACCATATAAGGAAATGACAGGAAAGCAGCGGTTCTCTTATTTTGGGAGGATGTCATATGACGTCCTCCTGCTCTAGCTGCGCATGCGCGCCCCCGGCGGTGTGGTGATCGGTGGTGCGCTGTGTCCCTGGGAGAAAACCGATCGCAGTAAAGAGCCAATTACGTAGGCTCTATCATGTGATCAGCTGTGTCCAATCACGGCTGATCACATGTAAATAGGAAATGCCAGTTATCGGCAGTCCTCTCCTCATTCTGAGGAGAGGACTGCTGGTAAACAGCATTCATCAGAGGGGACATGTACACTGATAATCAGTGCCCTGATTATCAGTGTAGCTCTATCAGTGCCACCTGTCAGTGCCCATCAATGCCACATATCAGTGCCCATCAGAGTTGCCTTTCAGTGCCAACTATGAGTGCCAGTCAGTGCTGCCTATCAGTTATGCCAATTAGTGCCACCTATCAGAGGCAGTCAGTGCCGCCTATCAGTGTTCGTCAGTGCCCATCAGTGCCACCTAAAAGTTCCAATCAGTGCCATATATCAGTGCTTCCTTTCAGTGCTCATCAGTGATACCTGTCAATGCCCACCAGTGATGCCTGTCAGTGCCCATCAGTGAAGGAGAAAAATTACTTATTTACAAAATTTTATAACAGAAACTAAGAAAAAACTTTTTTTTTTTCAAAATGTTCAGTCTTTTTTAGTTTGTTTAGCAAAAAATAAAAAACCGTGTGGTAATTAAATACCACCAAAAGAAAGCTCTGTCTAAAAAAAAAAAAGATAAAAATGTATACAGTGTTGCATGACCGCGCAATTGCCATTCAAAGTGTGACAGCGCTGAAAGCTGAAAATTGGCCTGGGCAAGAAGGGGGTGAAAGTGCCTGGTAGGCAAGTGGTTAATATTGTGATGTAAGTTATAGTACTTGCTTACTGTTTAAAATTAAAAAAAAAAAGAAGTGGTAAGCTACAATATTGTTCCGTCAAGGTTTTGGGGTTGTATTCAATATGTGCAAAGAGAGATCTCACAAAGATTTATAAGTATGACATTTATTAAAAGTAATGATGACAGATACATATAATAGAAAATATAGCAATACTTAACTAAAGATCCTGTTTCCGCCATGGGTTTCTTTTTTTTTAAGTTTTCTTTCATTTATTTTCACCAGGTGATGTGACCAGCAAGCCTGTTTTTTTTTTTTTTTTTTTTTAAAGAACAAGTTCTCATGCAGATGTAGCAGTTACAGGGATGATACAAACCATTTAACACTGGCAATGGTGCTTCCAATGATCAGCTTTTATTCATTTACATAAAACCTTTATTCCAAAAGAAAAAAAAACAAAAACATTTTGCTGTAACAGATCGTAAGGCCTCATGCACACTGGGCATTTTTAACTCTGCTTCTAGAGGCCTATGAGTCCATGCACAATAGGTATTTATAGGAGTTTAAAGGCAGAAAACCCCTCTGCCAGCATCTGTAGGAGCAGAGGCATTTTGGCAAAAAAAGCCTGACTCTTGTAAATGCATCTAAATGTGTGTTAATGTTAGGTGTGTTTAGCGCTTCAGCATTAATTCATTTCAGTGGCCAAAGTAAATTATTATTCTAGCAAATGAAATTAATTAACACCCAAGAGCTTGACGCACCTAAATGTGTTACATGCATTTACAGGTATCAATCAATTTTTCTGTCAAGAGGAAAGGCATCTGGGAGAGATAGTAGAACACCCAGCACGCATTAGGCCAAAAGTGTGATCTGGAGTTTGGCTTCAATTTGTTAGTGTATGTAAATCTGCTAGTTCATCTAACACTCTCCTCTCCCCAAATTAAAGTAGAATTCCAGTCAAATACTAAAGTGATTGTAAAAGTCTACATTTGTTTTTCATTGAACAACAAACACGTTATATTTACCTGCTCAGTGCAGAGAGAAACCCCAAACCTCCTCTTTTTGGGTCCCCCGCTGGTGCTCCAGGCTCCTTCTCTTCTTTGTGTGCCTCTTACTATGGGGGGCACACCTGTGGGCTCGCTCCAGAGCCACATTGCCTGCATCCATAGACACACACAGTACGACTTGGCCTTTCTCCCTCCTCACAGCATTTGATTGACAGCAGCAGGAGCAAATGGCTACTGCTGCTGCCCCAATCCCTATGAGAAGAGGAAGAGAGGGTAGAGAAGACTGCAGCCGGGCACAGCGCTGGATCCCTGACAGGCTCAGGTAAGTGTTTAGAGAACGGGGGAGGGAAATAGATAGTGTTGTGGTTTTTTTTACATTAATGCAGGAAATCTGGTGATAGAATAGAGTCTTGGGGGCAAGCTGCACATGCTCAGTTTGATGTGTATTGTTAGAGAGGTTTTTGTTTTTTCTCCTTTGGAGAGTGCATGTGACCAGCACAGGGCCAATCAGTGCTGTCCAGACAGAGGGTCAGGGGTTATGCTGACTCATAGAACTATCAGGAGAGAATGAAAACTCCTCCTACAAGCTTTAACCAGTGCTCTACTGGACACTGATAGAAGTCACAAGACTGCTATATACTGCAGATGAGAAAGGGTATTTAGCAGTTTATGTTTACTAAAATAATTGCACTTCTGTGTACTGTGGGAGACTAGATATAGTGAATGCTGGATCCTGGGTTTAATAACACTTTAATTATACCTAAACCTGCTCCCACCCCATTCTAACTACCACATAAAGGATTAAAAAGGTGTGTATACTTACCTAATCTAAGTCATATGATCGAGTCCCAGCACTTGCTTCAAGTGATTGTAAATGTTTTTTTCTTCATTGGAATTTTAATGGAATTGCACAGAGTGCCCCAAACCTCATCTAATTGGTCCCCTGTTGGCACCCCTGGCCCCTATCCTCTGCTGAGTGCCCCTATAGAAAGCTACAAATACTATAGCTGCTGACTTTTAATAAAAGGATACTTACCTGTCCCAGCATCCAGCGCCATCCTCACCCAAGCTAATTCTTTACTAGCCTTTGGGTTCCTGGTGCCGACATCCTAACTGTGGGTAACCGGCTATGCTTTCAGCTTCACAGCCGCTTTCCACTGTACATGTGTGAACTGGTCTCACAGTCTTCTGGGACTAGTGATATGGCTAGGCAATCCAAGCGGAAGTGGGAGCGGGTACCTGTGTACCTTCCCTTAGGAGTCACTGAGTTTTGGGTGCCCCTAAGCTACAGTCAGGTCCATAAATATTGGGACATCGACACAATTCTAACATTTTTGGCTCTATACACCACCACAATGGATTTGAAATGAAACAAACAAGATGTGCTTTAACTGCAGACTGTCAGCTTTAATTTGAGGGTATTTACATCCAAATCAGGTGACCGGTGTAGGAATTACAACAGTTTGCAAATGTGTCTCCCACTTGTTAAGAGACCAAAAGTAATGGGACAATTGTCTTCTCAGCTGTTCCATGGCCAGGTGTGTGTTATTCCCTCATTATCCCAATTACAATGAGCAGGTAAAAGGTCCAGAGTTCATTTCAAGTGTGCTATTTGCATTTGGAATCTGTTGCTGTAAACTCTCAAGATGAGATCCAAAGAGCTGTCACTATCAGTGAAGCAAGCCATCATTAGGCTGAAAAAACAAAACAAACCCATCAGAGAGATAGCAAAAACATTAGGCGTGGCCAAAACAACTGTTTGGAACATTCTTAAAAAGAAGGAACGCACCGGTGAGCTCAGCAACACCAAAAGACTCGGAAGACCACGGAAAACAACTGTGGTGGATGACCGAAGAATTCTTTCCCTGGTGAAGAAAACACCCTTCACAACAGTTGGCCAGATCAAGAACACTCTCCAGGAGGTAGGTGTATGTGTGTCAAAGTCAACAATCAAGAGAAGACTTCACCAGAGTGAATACAGAGGGTTCACCACAAGATGTAAACCATTGGTGAGCCTCAAAAACAAGAAGGCCAGATTAGAGTTTGCCAAACGACATCTAAAAAAACCTTCACAGTTCTGGAACAACATCCTATGGACAGATGAGACCAAGATCAACTTGTACCAGAGTGATGGGGAAGAGAAGAGTATGGAGAAGGAAAGGAACTGCTCATGATCCTAAGCATACCACCTCATCAGTGAAGCATGGTGGTGGTAGTGTCATGGCATGGGCATGTATGGCTGCCAATGGAACTGGTTCTCTTGTATTTATTGGTGATGTGACTGCTGACAAAAGCAGCAGGATGAATTCTGAAGTGTTTCGGGCAATATTAGCTGCTCATATTCAGCCAAATGCTTCAGAACTCATTGGAAGCCGCTTCACAGTGCAGATGGACAATGACCCAAAGCATACTGCAAAAGCAACCAAAAAGTTTTTTAAGGGAAAGAAGTAGAATGTTATGCAATGGCCAAGTCAATCACCTGACCTGAATCCGATTGAGCATGCATTTCACTTGCTGAAGACAAAACTGA